CCTTCCCTCCCACTCTCCTCCCTCCTTCCTTCCCTCCTTTCTCCCTTTCTCAACTAACCTCCTTCCTTCTTTCTCCCTCCCTCCCTCATCTCATCTTTTCTTTCCTTCCTTCCCTTTCCCTTTCTCCCACACCCTCCCCTCTTTCCATTCTTTTCTTCCTCCCTCTCTCTGTCCCCTTTCCTTCCTTCCTTCCTTCCTTCCTTCCTTCCTTCCTTCCTACCTACTTACCTACCTACCTTACCTACCTATCACAGTCAAGAAGCTACAAATGTCAACATATATTTTCCTTCTGAAAATCCCAGTTTCTGTCCTAGAAACCCATGCAAGAGAATCTCTCTTTTTAGGAAGGGGGGACCAGGCAGCTTTTGAGCCAAGGCCTAAGGCTGCCTTTCAGCCTTTCATGGCAACTGAACCTTCTCACAGCTATTTGACCTGGTGCTTCTTGGCTGCCAATCACGCCTGTTATAGAGACCCCCAATCGGCCAGGCAGCGTTCTGGGCTCCTAATTTTTCTTTTCAACCAGGTTTCCAGCTCTTAAGAATGTGGAAGCAGAGGGCAGTGAAACCAGGTAGACTCACACCAGCTTGGATGAATCCGTGGCCTTCCGTGACCGCCCTGGGGGTCAATGACGGTCTTAATCCCATGCTTGGGTGCTGTGCATTATTGGAACGGCGCCTGGATAAACAGATCAATGCTTTGAACCCCGGATGCCCAGGTTTTCTGGAAACCCAGGAAAAAGCTGCACTGCCAAAATATCCAACCAACCAAGGAGCCAAACGGCCAACGAGCTTCCTGGCCACACAGCGTGGCTTCGGTGAGCCTCTCCCCCGAAGCTTTCTGACATTCACAATGCTTCGTTTGGCCCTTTAAGGGTGTCTTGTCTTGTGCCAACTCGGGGGCCCTTCACGGGGCTCTGGTTTCCCCCAGAAGGCGAGCGTCAAGAGCAGCCTGTGGTGAGTCAGGCCAGAGTGGAATGGGCCATTTTTCACGGGCCTTTCCTGAAACAGATGCCGACGCAGGCTGCCAAAATAAGCAGGAACTGCTGTTTGGCAGCCAGGCGATCTGTGAAAAGAGCAAAGGGCGGAGGGACGGCGGGGCTGGGACCCACAACCCTTCGTTTCTTCTCTCCCGGAAAGTTGCGAAGTGGGGGCATTATGTGTTGGTGGAACAAGAAGCCCACCGGACTTCCTAGCAGAGCCCTCCTCCGTTGGGCAGGGAGCCATGGGCTTCAGGGTGCAAGCCGGCCTTTATCGGAGCTTCCCACCCCCTTCCTTCTCGATGACAAATGCTGCAGGGAAACAGATGTGGACGTCTCCCGCCTGATATTCGTGCGATGACAGGCAAGGCTCTGCAAGACTTCGGGAGGGGGCCGGGATCCTCTGGCACCACCTGTTCCCTGGTCTGGCACAGAAAACACATACACACACACACACAGCCCTGTGTGAACTCATGACATTATCCAGGGAGGGAAAGGAAAACTCAAAGCAAGAAAAGCAAGCAGCAGTGAGTCAGGTGTTGATCCTCACTGGGCTTCAGAAAAAAACAGCTCCCTCCCTGCCATGAAAATCCAAGTGGTCCTCGGTTCACGACCACAACGGAGCCCCAAATTTTTGCTGTTAAGCGGAACACTCCTTAAGTGAGCTTTGCCCCCTTTTGTGACCTTTCTCGCCACAGCTGTTAAGTGACCCACTGCAGTTGATAAGTTAGTTAGCAGCCCGGTTGTTAAGTGAACCAGGCTGCTTCCCCAATCTGGACTGCAAAGTTCTTCAAAGCAGAAGAGAAACTCCCAGAAGCCTCTCCTTCCTCATGCTCCTCCTCCATAGCGCCATCCGAGGAGCTCAGCTTCTGTCCAAGGTCCTCCCCAGATGCTCTTCCTTCATGGCCACGGTGGCTGGCCATGATTCCTGGACCTTTCCACTTGGTCACGGCCATAAAAGTCGCTATCGCAAAGGTCTCTAGGCAACCAATAATATACAAGCAGAGGGGAAACATCTATGGCTCAATAATCCACATGATGGGGTGTCTGTCATTCCTCAATCAACCTGGACCAAAGCATTTTTCATTATTATGGAAGGTGAACAGGATCAGGACTACAGGTGTCTCTGGGAAGAGTGTTATGAAGAGTGGAGTCTACTGCAGGGAGGGCAGCCCTGTGTGTCTGTGTAAGTGTGTGTGTGTTTGTGTGTTATTTTTAAAGCATTCTCTGCGGTCAACAGAACAGAACAGCCCTCTCTAAGACCCCTAAGGATGCTGCTCAGAGCAATCAAGCCAAGGAACCCTACGAACTCTTGTCTCCTTGTTTGCTCTCTTAAGAGGGCAACCAGAAGGAAGACAAGCCGGGTCCATCAAGGTTTGCCTTTGGTGCTCCCCTCGCCTTCACAGCTGAGCCATTTTCTTTGCAAGAATAAAACCATTTTCTTGCAAAGAACGGAAGGCAACCCTTAAAGCAGGGGTGTCAAACTTGAGTTCATTGAGGGCCGCATCAGGGTTGTGTTTGACCTTGGGGGGCTGGAGTGGGCGTGGCCAGGGTGGACATGGCTAGCTCGACATCACCTATTTCGGGGGCGCCTATGGTGGCCCAAGCGCTCTGCCAGAGAAAATGGGCTCCCTAGCTCCGTTTTCGGCTGCAATGGCTTCCTGCAACCCTCTGACAGCGAAAACGGGTGGCCCTCCCAAGCTCCATTTTTGTGGCAGAGGCACAGCGGGCCGGTCCATCGCTATTTCCAGTGTGGCCCCGCAGGTCAGATCTAATCATGGGCCGGATCCAGCCCCCAGGCCTTGAGTTTAACACCCCTGCCGTAAAGCCTTTGCTGTAAAAGACCCAAACCCAGGACGAGGCGGAAAGGAAGTTCTGCGCATCTCCTTCAAACCCTCACCTGCCAACTGTGACTCATGAGACTTTGCTGGGCAATTGCACTGCAAGGGACCCCTGCCTTGTGCAGGACTCGAGATGGACCGGCAAAACGGGACCCACCTACTCCTTTCTCGGCTCCCTCCAGAAACGGTGTCTCCAGGTCACAGTTATCCCAAAGGTGCTTTTTCAAGAGGCAACTGCACTTTCAGAAAGACCAGTTGCCTCTTGAAAAAGCACCTTTTGGGGACTCCAGAAACGATGCATGGCACCGAGCTAGAAAGCAATGGGGGGGGAGGGTCCAAAGGATCAGGATGCAAAACCAGAGCAGCAACCCTGTTTAAAAACAAGTCTTGTCAACTTTGGGCACTTATGTTGTAGTAACGTAAGTATTCTTGTAGTAACACGCTCCAGCGTCCTCACACACTGGACAGAAATTCATTGCCTGAACTTTGATGCTGGAGATACATCTTGGCTCAAAGGCTCCCAGCCTGGCACGGCCTTCCCAACGGAAGTGCCAAGGAATCAGGTCCCATCAGAAGGCCACCCAGAAGCTTACCTTTTGGAGAGACAGAGGCGCAGTTGTGGGCAGAGCCAAAAGATCCCTGGCCACGGCCGATTTGCCTGCCAGCACCAGCACAGCGCACTCGGGGCAAGCGCCAATGGTCAGCCGCTTGCCATCGTCCACCAGCAAGGTGCCTGGACCCCGGAAGGAGCCCAAGAATACGGGCAGCCGGGTCACTGGCACCGCTCTTAATCCAAGGTGCCGTTTCTTCTCTTGACGGCAGAAGAAGCAAGCAAAGGTGTCCACCTTGTACTGCCGGGACCAGGCGCTGCTGGGGTGCTGGGCGCTGCCCTGTTCATGCTGCAGCCATTGGGCCAGGAGGTCGTGGTAGCACAGCATGCAGGTGGCCACGATCCCTGTGGCGTCGGCTGGCCTGGCCCGTGGAGCTGGCGGATAGACTGCCAGGAAAGGGAAAAAGGGCTCCTTTTCACCAAAGCGGCCCGCAGCAGGGTTGACACTGACTTGGAACTCCTTGCCAGGGCCCAGCTGGGCACCGCAGATGTAGCAGCCGGAGGTCAGGCCTGTCTGGGTCAAGCTTGGGGTCCTGGCCGTGGCCTCAGCCTCCCCAACAGCGGCAAAGACCTGCTGGTACCTGCCCAGGAAGCTCTGCACGGAAGTGATGCATTGTTCGTTGCGACAGGCGCGGTAAGTGGCCCACAAGTCCTGCAGTACCAGGTAGCAGCGGGGACAGCTGCGCACCTGACAGCGCTGGTCCGGCCCCTTGGCCCGCGGCGGGCAGGGCAGGTGGCTGAGGAAGGGGAAGTGCATGGCTGCCTTGGAGCTGCCGTTGGGGGCTTTGGCCGAGACGGGGCGCCAGTCCTGGGTGCAGTCCTCCCCGCAGAGGTAGCAGACTTCTGGCGAGCGGGGCAGCGGGGCCCCCGGGGGCCCTTCCTCTCTGGTCAGCCCGGCCCTCCGGGGCTGGGCGGCCGCCAGGGGCACCACGTAGAGCCGCTGCAGGACGGGCACGTCGGCGCCCTCGAAGCTGTGCCACTGCTGCATGAGGGAGGCGTGGCAGGCAGGGCAGACCAGGGCGCTGCCGGCGGGGCTGAGCGGGAGGGCGCCGGGCGGTGGGCTGTGCAGCCAGAGGAAGGGGAAGAAGGGCGCCGTCGAGGCTCTCTCCTGCTTCTGCACGTGGATGCGCTGCTGCGAGCCCGGCGCCAGGGGGGAGCCGCAGACGTAGCAGGCCAGGCCGGCCCCCCTCGCCGAGGCTGCCCCGGTGCTGCTGCTGCCGCTGCTGGGCGCCGTCCGGGGCTCCTCGTCGCTGGTGATGTTGATCTCGCTCTCCTCCGACGAGCAGCGGTCGGACGGCGCCCCCTCCGCTCGCCTCGCTTCCAAGCCGGGCCGTCCCAAGCCGTCCATGGGCGCGCTCCACAGAGGCTCCCCGCTTGCCCGGCGCCGCACCGGCCGCGGCCGCTTCCTGCGAGGCTTGGGAGCCAGTGGCAGCCCGTTCCCCGGGTGAAAGGGGATCGCCGCCGCCGCCGCCTCTTCCGGGGCCGGCCGCAGCTGGCTCCCCTGGCGGGGCCGAGCGGGCAGAGGCGCGCCCGGCCTCTTCCGCTCCTCGGGGCTGGCGGGGAAGCGCGGCTCGGGCTCCGACAGGGTCTCGGCGTCCGAGAGCGAGGAGAGGGAGTCGTCGTCGGGCGGCGCGGCCGCGGGCTCTGCGCGGGGGTCGTCGGGGCCGCCGCCGTCCGTGCCCAGCGCGTAGGCGAGGTTCCACTCCTTCGGCGGCCGGCCGAGCCCGCCGCCCGCCGCCCCCGCGGCTCCCTCGCACTGGTGGGGCCGCTTGAGCCAGTACATGCGCTTCTCCACCGGCGTCCGCGCCCGCTCGAAGGCGTCCCACTGCTCGGCCAGGAAGCAGCGGCAGACGGCGCAGACCAGGGCGCAGCCCTCGGCGCTCACCTCCCGCGCGCCGGGCGCCGGCTCCTGCTGCTGCAGGAAGGGGAAGAAGGGCTGGTGGGCGCGGGCCGGGCGCACTTGCAGGCGCAGCTCCTTGCCCCGGCCGATGCCGCCGCCGCACACGAAGCAGCAGAGCGGCGCGGCGGGCGGGGGGGCCAGCGCGGCCATCAGCCGCTGCTTGCGGGAGACCGGCGCCTCCTTCCGCGGAGAGGAGCTCATCTTGCCCGGGAGGAGCGGCGGCGGCGGCGGCGGCTGGAAGAGGCGCCCCCGGGCCGGCCGCTCATCTTGCAAGGCGCCGGGCGGCCGGAGCGAGCGGGGCGGGGAGTTGGCGCTGCTGCTGCTGCTGCTCCGCCGGCGCTGGGGAGGCTCCGGGACTGGCGCGGGCTGTCCTGCTGCGGCCGCTCTAGCGTGCCCTTCGCCCGGCCCGAGGAACCGCCGCCGCCGCCGCCGCCGCCGCCGCCGCCTGTGCAAAGTTTGGCTGCGAACTCGGAAGCGCCATCGCGCCGGCTGGCTGGCTGGCTGGCTGCTGCCCGGCCCCCTCCCTCCCGGAGGAGGGTCTCCGCACCACCAGCCGCGCTTTCCCAGCCAGCCAAGCCCCGCGCCCGCCGGAGCCGGCTCCTCGCTCCCCCCCCCGGCCGAGGTTGCAGGAGGTGGGGAGGGTCGGGCCGCCCGCCAAGGCCAGGAGGGACGCCGCTGCTCCCCCCCCTCCCGCCGCTGCGCCTCCTTGACGCCGAGAGGAAATGCCCCGGGGGAGGCGGGGAGGGGGCTGCCCTTGGACCCGCAGCGGAGCCCGGCCCTCTCCTCCCGAGCAGCAGCCTCCAAGGGCCGACTGAGGAGGGGCTGGGACTGGGGCGCATCTTTGCAGCCTGGAGGGGGTCAAGTAACCGGAGCAGACCGGGGGCAAGAGGGAGCGGAAAGCAGGGGCTGGGCGGAGGTCTGACCCGGGGGCGCGGGCGGGGGACAGGAAGGTCACCCCACCTGGAAGGCCCCGAGGGGCATCGCCGGCCTTCCCCGCCTGGCGCTTCGACGGCAGCGATCGCAAACGGCACCAGAAGCCCGAGTTGGCAGCAAGGGGAACTCCGGCCAGGTAGCCAATTCGGAGAGGGTGGTCTCACCCCTCTTTGGGAGATGCCTCCGCTTTGCCCATCGAAGAACGAGGGGCTGCAAAGCTCCCCTTCCAAAGCCCTTTCCCCAGGGACCCCCCACGCCCCTGAAATTCAACCTTACCTGCCCCTCAAAGTTGACCCAGAAGGAAAGCAGCCTAAACTGAAGCTGCCCCTACTCTAAATTTTGCTCCCCGATTCTCCTGGGACAAGAACCCAACAGCCCTCAAATCGGAGACAAAAATATGCTCAGTATCTTTGGATCTCAGTGCCGCACAGAAGCTCATTCTGCGGCGCCCAGAATTCCAAGGCAGCAGCAGGGAATCTGGGATCTGCATTTCAACCCATCTGGGAAGGGATAGAATAGGATAGGTTTAGCATAGGATAGGATAGGATAAATTTAGCATAGGCTAGGATAGGATTAGGATAGGATAGCATAGGTTTAGTATAGGATAGGATACAATAGGATTTATTGGCCAAGTGTGATTGGACATACAGAGTTTTGAGAGCCTCTTAAGCCCACTCCCACCAGGGACAGTTTCCCATGATCCTGGCTTGGGCAGAGGCATCTCCCAGGCAAGATGGATAGTTGGGCTGCTGGAGACTTGGGCGGGCCAAACTTGTGCTCTCCTGCTGCTAGGAAAGCCCCTGGGAGGGGTGAGTCGAAAGGCCAGCGGGAACGGTTACCAGAGCCTGGTAGCCAGCTGGGGAGCAGAATCCCCAAAGTGACACCCCCAGCCTGGCTGAGGAGCTTTCCCACACAAGCGCCACCCACCCACCGACGGAGCCCTCGGTCTTCCCAGCAGTGCTACAAGCTCTGTCTCTCCCAACAGCTGCACTGCATTTTGCACATGAGGGTAATGTCATCGCTCCCGGTGCTGAAAGCGTGATGTTCCCCATAGCTGGCTGAGGGATCAAGCAGATTGTGTGACCTCATCCCACGAGACCAAAGTCGGTGCTCTGATCCATCAGGGATCCCCTGCTCTTCAGGTGGCCCACGTCTGGGCAGGGGGAACCAGGGAGGGCAGCCAATGCCTGGGGGAGAAGTTGAAGTGGAGGCGGGAGGGTCTCTCAAATAGCACTAAAGAAACAATGTTTCATGTTATAATGGATCAACAGGCTTCAAGGTATCTCAAAGCCAGAGGAGGACTGGATGGGACCAAGGGCTTTTTAGAGTGGTTTATTCAAGGCAAGATTTGCTGGGGATCAGAGTCTTGGTGGAGTTAGGCCCTGCATTCTTTCCCTGGGCCCTTTTAAAGCTGCAGCAGAGCATGGCTTTTTTAAAAAAAGCTTCACGCAGGGTCTTAGATGTGCAACGTGTGAAGAAAGAATGAGAAGTGACTGGGGCATTGAATTCCAACAGCAGCACAAAGTTGCCCAAAGACTCACGTTTTGTAAGCCGTGCCAAGGAATCCTACCAACAATTCTCAATCTTGGCAACTTTAAGATGTGTGGACTTCAGTTCCCAGGATTCCCCAGATAGCATGGGCCTCGCTTCTGAGCCCTGCCATCAGTCCTGCCTTTTGGGATAACCAAAGGCAGGATCTTGACTGGCTACCAAGATGCTGCAACACATCTTTCATTCAATTCGTCACTATAATCGATGCCCTATTAAACCTCTCCTGTTTGTCTGTTTGCAGCCATGGTCACAGGACTGTCATTTCCCACTTCCCCTGCCAGCTTCCCACAAAGAAGGACAGTGGGGAAACCAACAGGAAGTCGGAAGTTAATCCCCACTGCTTTTTTGCCTGTCTCCGTTTCTCTGTTTAGGTAACAATCACCCAACGGGTCACAAATTGTCTGCTTATTACTTATATTGAAGTTAAGGCAAACTTTCAGCTCTAAACTCAGTGGAAAGTTTGCATTTCTATTGCTAATATTGTACATGCTGGTGAAAAGCGGCTATATATTTTCCATGGGCCATATCCTGCAGATCTAAGCCACTCTGCCACCTACCAGAGGTTTTGGACTACAGCTCCCACAATCCCCACCGCTGGCCTTGCTGGCTGAAGCTCCTGGAAGGGACAGTCAGTCCTTGAACCTAAACCCTTCCCGTTGAACCCAACAGCCCTGCCGAAGGCAAAAGCCTCACTGTCTGGGCCTGACCAGCAGCTGTAATAACAAGCCAGCATCCGAGAAGCTGCACTTAACATAGATCCCATTCGAAAGAACTGGAGCAGAGCGGCGGCCTCCAGAAAGGAAGCCGAGCAGTCCCCCAAAGGGCACCTTTCGGTCGGGCAAAAAGTCGCCTCGAGGTCGCCCATTAATATTTATTGAGGCAGAAAGCTGAGCTGGGAGGGAGGGAGGGAGGGAGGGAGGGAGGGAGGGGGAAATAACAGCAAACAGGTGCTGACATTTGCAGCGAGCAAGCGAGGGAGCAGAAGGGCAACACAAGCACAGGTGGTGCCACTCAGCCACGGAAAGCAGGCTGGGCTGCCCGCCCCAGGCCAAAGGGACATTCTCCTCAGGCCTGGTCAGAGGCTAATTTTACCCCAAGCAAAGCCTCGGGCTGTTCCAAACAACAGTCTGAGCTCAAGCCAGCTGGAGACAGCTGAGCTTCAGACACAGGCTGACTGGACCCTTCCTCTCCAAAAAGCAGCTTCTGAAGAATCAGAAGGAAGCCACCATCTGTGACGGATCCCGTGGGGATGGTTCCAAGTCAGATCTCTGGTTTTCCAGTCTCTTCTTAAAAAAAACTTCCAATGATGGAGCACCCGTAACGTCTGAAGGCCAGCTGTTCCACTGGTTAAGTGTTCTCCCTGTTAGGAAGTTTCTCCTTAATTCCAGGTTGCTTCTCTCCTTGGTTAGTTTCCATCCGTTGCTTCTTGTCTTGCCTTCTGGTGCTTTGGGAAATAAGCTGACCCCCTCCTCTTTGTGGCAGCCCCTCAAATATTGGAACACGGCTATCATGTCATCCCTAGTCCTCCTTTTCTCTAGACTGGCCAAACCCAATTCCTGCAACCATTTTTTGTAGGTTTTAGTCTCCATTAAGATCCGTCAGGGCTCATTACGGGATTTGGTGGAGAATCCAACTTCCCTTCCTGACTTTTTGCCTGTTGGAAGCCACCTGGGAAGGTCGCAGATTGTGATCACGTGACCCATGGATGCTGCAATTGTCCTCAATGCATGCTAGTTGCCAAGCGATGGGATTTTGATCATGTGACTGTGGGGAATGTTGCGGTAGCCCTAAGTGTGAGGACCAGGTATTTTTTCAGTGCCATTGTAATTTGGAAGGACTGCTAAGCGAATAGTTGTAAGTCAAGAACTGCACACAAATTGTTCTGAAAGGACCAGGCAGGAATAAAATCATGTGGGACGCTTGCAATTTGTTGCTCAGTTGGCGCTTACCGAAAGCAAAAAAATAATGAATTTTAAGAAAGGAAATTAGAAATCCTTCCAGCCTTAGCAGTTTCCCTGCCTGGCGGTAGCTGTAGAGTGAGAATTTTGTCCAAGAGTTTCTTTGGCACGGTCCTGAAAGAATTGGTGGAAGTTTTTACTGGGAAAAAGTTGGCTGAGGTCTCCCTTAAAGACAGCCAAGCTTTTACTCATGGCAGAAGAAGTCCAGAAATCTGCTCATTGCAAAGAACATCCCCAAGATTGGAAAAGATAACCTCCAGAAACACAACGGAAAAAGGAAGGTCTCCAACCTTCCTCTGGAACCTTGGGATTCCTTCATCTTGGAAACAATATGATAGGAGGAGTGGAGAGGACGTGAGATACAACTTTATCGGATTAAATTTTATTTGGCTCCATCTCTATCAACAGGCAGGCTAGAACAGGGACTGCTTGCTTCTCTTTTTCCAAACTGGTCCAAGAAATGCAGAGTTGGACCGGTTGATGGGGATTGGATGAACTGCTGTGATGTCACGGAATGGCCAGCCAGTCAGGGGAACCTTGAGGCCGCAAGAGCTAGGAAAGGAGAAGACCGGATTTTGCAAGCAGTGTTTCTCATCTTTGACAATTTTAAGGTGGGTGGACTTCAACTCCCAGAATTCCCCAGCCAGGTGCGCTGAAGGCCACCCATTTTAAAGGGGCCAAGGCTGAGAATCGGAGCCCAAGAAGGGGAAGGCAAGACGTGGGAATAGATGACTGATGTGTGGGAAACCAGGATCAAGAGATGGCAGGGAGAGAAAAGATGACTTCTCCAAGTTCAGTTAAGCTCAGTTAACTGTCTCGCTTAGCGACAGAAATTGTGGACTCCGTTGTGCTCGGAAATTGAGGATTACCTGTATGTTGTGCTGATGCGCCACTGAGAAGCACAGCCCTGGACCTGACACTTCACTGGTGGGAATTGCGTGGACTCGGCATTTCCAGAAAATCTTGGGACATGATCAAGATGGAGGGGGTCCCCAGGCTTCTTCCCCCCCCCCCCAAATTATATGTCAGCTCAGCTTTGTTCTTCCCACACTTCAGTGACATGAAAACAAACCCAGAGACAAGTTTATTTTAAAGGGTTTCTCTCTCTTTTTTGCATGGTGTTGGCAGCCGGCCATTGGGGAGAAGAGGGAGAGGGGAGGGGAGGGGAGAATTCAGGGGGAGTTTGTGCATCTCCAAAGCTCCCGCTACAAATCAGCTCCCAGCCGTTCCCTTCCTGCGCCGACCTGCCGGAGTCTGCTGTTGTTCTTGGCAGCCAAACCCAGGAAGAAGGATCACACCCCCAGCCCCACACACAGCACACACACACACACCTCTCCCAGCGGCTGGAGAAAGGCTGATGCGATGACACCCGCCAACATCCTTCAAGGTCGGGAGAGGGAAGTGGGAGAGCAGCGGGCAACTGTTCAGAGAAATCTCCCTGCTCTTCGGCTCTCTTGAGGTCCAGGCCGGCTCTTCCAAGCCCCAGAGGCAGCCTACCGCCTTCCCACCCACTCCCCCACTGCAGTATGATGGCCCTGACCGCTTCAGGCCTCCTCTGTTTGCAAAGAAAGGGAACCTTCCCCAGGAATGGACAAGGCTACCCATTTAGGCTGTAAAAGTTTCTCCGTAAAAGTTCTGTTATCTTGGCAATGTGGGCCCATGCCCCAAATCGTGTCTGCCAGAGGGAGGGAGGAAAGGAAGGAAGGAAGGAAGGAAGGAAGGAAGGAAGGAAGGAAGGAAGGAAGGAAGGAACAGACATGTAGAATAGATAAAGAGAGCATTGACAGCACAAACACAGCCTGGTGCTGCTACAAATGACAACTCCTTTTCTTAACCAGCTGACCCTCCAGGAATGCTGGACTACAACACCCATCACCCCCAAACAGCTTCCTGGTGGGAGACCTGGCTTGAAAGCCTCTGGGAGGGCTCACACTTGCTCCTTGACAAGACCCGTGGGCAATGTGCCCCCTTCCTTGCCACTGGACAGCTCTGTAGAGGACAACCCTGGAAGCTCTCTTGAGACAAAGCAAAATGGGAAAGAGATCCACAGGGTTCCTTTTGGGTCCCAAGACCAGATTATCTGGCCATCGACCAGAGCAGCTACGCATCTTCTCCCTGGGCACTTCTGCAGAATATTCTTCAAGAACAGCATCCCAAGACATTGTGTTTCCTTTCGGGTCACGGATCAAACGAGAGAGAGAAGGAAAAGAGTGAATCCTGCCTACAATTTCCCACCCCACCCCACCCCCGGGAACAAGCTGTTGTTAAAAGAGGTGCCAGTCATCTCCCAACATCTTGCAATCCTGGCCAGGCCAGCTGGATGCTTCCTCTAAAACCCCAAATCTGCTTTCCATCCCAACCGACTCCTGCAATTTCTTTGTTGAGCTGTATTAGGATCCGCTTCCAAGGGAATAAATCCCTCCGACTGCTGGAGAAAACTTTCTGATGTCTCCATTAATTGCCCCAAGGTTCATATCTCAGGTTTGGCCGAGGTCCCATCTGCAGCCACC